TCTACCACTAGTCACCCCTTCCCTCCCTCACTCTGTCACTAGTCACCCTGTCCCTCACCCTGTCACTAGTCACTCCCTCCCTCATTCTATCACTAATCACCCCTTCCCTCCCTCACTCTGCCACTAGTCACCCCCTCCCTCACTCTGTCACTAGTCACTCACTCTGCCACTAGTCACCCTGTCCTCACTCTACCACTAGTCACCTTCCCTCCCCTACTCTGTCACTAGTCACTGGCCCCTCACTTTGTCACTAGTCACCCTCCCCACTCTGTCACTAGTCACCCCAAGTCCTCACTCTACCACTAGTCACCCCTTCCTCCCTCACTCTGTCACTAGTCACTCCTGTCCTCACCCCTGTCACTAGTCACTCCCTCCCTCACTTACCACTAATCACCCCCCTTCCCTCTCACTTGTCACAAGTCACTCCTCTGTCACTAGTCAAATTTCTCCCTCACTTCTGCTACTAGTCACTCCTGTCTCACTTTCTTTCACTAGGCACTTCTCCTCACTCCAGTCACCAGGCACCTCACTACTTGTCACAGTCACCCTCACTCTGTCAGTAATCACTCTTCACTTGTCACTCCCCACTGTGTCTCCCACTCACTCTGCCACCACTCGCCCCCTCCCTCACTCTGGCACTAGGCACCCCCTCACTCTGCCACCTGTCACCACCTCCCACACTCTTTCACCTGTCACGTCCTCCCTCACACACTCTATCACCTGTCACCCCCTCCTAACACTATAGAATCCCTTTAACATCTACAAGGACCTGGTTGTGATTAACTCCTTTCAATTAAGCCAGAGGTTGTTGTTTAGGTCTTTGGGCTAGTACCGGCTGGCATTGAGCATTGAACGGGTTGGAAATAAGTCACAAAAGCAGATGCTAGTGGCTCCTGTAGTGAATGGGAGCTATTAGCTGCTATTAGAGACTAGGTTCCAGTAGCTGCAATTGGTACCTCCCTGTCGATAGTTTGCAATCGGTAAACTTTAGTGGCAGACATTTTGGCACAAAGTTGCTGGCTAGTAAAAAGTAGCAACAAATATTAGAAACAAACCCCTAGTGTTTTCATAAGATGTATTTTCTTTTGGTGATTGGTTTACTTTAACCCCTTAAGGACACATGACGTGTGACATGTCATGATTCCCTTTTATTCCAGAAGTTTGGTCCTTAAGGGGTTAAAGAGAATCTGTCATGACTCACCTCACCCTGCTCTCACATGCCACCATGTCCTCCAAGAGGTGGGTGTTACAATTCAGAAGCAGGGCAAACCTCCTCTGTGATGCCAACACACTGGCTTCACTGCTAGCATACCAGTGTTTGAACTAAATTCCTATACTCACTAGGCAGCACTAACAGTATTGGCTACAGACTTACCATAGCAATCACAGCTCACACACGTTCCACGCCTGGACTTCCACCAAGATGGCCGTGAATTCCAGATGGCAACTTCCAAAATTATTTTTTTCCCCTTTTGGAGAACACCTGGAGTAGCCCGTGTCTAATTGGAATGCCATCTGGAATGCACGGCAATCTTGGCAGAAGTATGGGCGTGGAACGCATGGAAGTGCGTCACACAGTATAGATGGACATTAAAAAATACCGGTGGGAAACTACATTAATGACAAGTGGAGACAGCTGCAAGAGGAGATACACCAACAAATCCGGACGTACAAAGAGAGGAAGCCCACCACTCCACCAATGACATTTTATAAAGTGGACTGTTTGTATAGTTTGTATATGTTTGTATAGTTTGTATCTTATTGTTACTGGTTTTACCTATATGGGTCCTTGAGGAAGTTCTCACCTGAGAACGAAACGCGTAGGACCACCATATTTTAACACTATTTGTGTAAATTATTTTATTTGTTAATAAATATCCCTTTGGAAGAAAATCTCTGGAATATTGTTTGGTGACCTAAAAAGACCTGTTCAGAGACAAATACAAAGGAGGAGCTTTGGCCCCCTATTGAAATCGTGGGTGACACCCATTAGGTGGCTTTATCATCTCTAACTTGTGAGTGCAACTGAAAATCTGCATTGTAATATCTTTGTTCGTAGGTACACCAGCAGGATCCCTAAAATGTTGTGTACTATACACTAAAGTGTGATTGTTGGGAATTCAGAGTGTATTTCCAAATTTTATGGCAAAGTAGCCCTAAAGCACACTTTTCAGTTTGGCTATTTTAGACCTAAAATTTAAAATTCACACTTCAGTAATGTTGTTTAAAGGGCACCTGTCTTGCCCAAAACTATTTTTGCTCTTTTTATACGGCACAAAATTTCATGTTTACAATATATAGATTCGGAGAAAAAACCCCATTATAAAATAGGTCTTTCTCTCACATGTCAATCAATTCTTTGGCATAGACACTATTGCGAAGAATTTATTGACAGGAAGATCAGAATAGATCTCCCACAGGTGGCCTGATGTTACTCTGATGTTCTGGCAACGGCATGTTGGCAATAATGCCAGCGTCATGGGGATTTGCCCTCCTTGGGAAGTGTCAATAAAGAGAGCAAGGGGAATGAGGGTGGACCAGCGATCAGTGTTACAGATATTTATCACCAACCTCTGTCAATATCAATGCTCCGTGGGAGCGAAGGGTGAGACAAGTCTTGACAGATTCCCATTAAGTTAGTCCTACATTTATTTTGATTTAAAAAAAATTATTTATTTTCTCTTGCACGAATCACAAAGCAAATTGTCTCAAGCAGAATACATATAATTGTTAATCAATAAAAAAAAATATCCAAGTAACATTCATTCCTGAGGTTTCTCTGATAATGCAGGAAACAGTGGGAAGCAGGTGAATAATTTATTGGTATTTAAATAATTAATAGACCTCATTAGAAAGGCTGCTTTGGAACACAGCTCTGTAGTTTATTTCTTAATGAATTAATTGGCTTTACGGAGAGCTAAAGGTTTGATTCTCCATCCGATATCACCAGTGGCAGAACTAATGAACTGAGGGCCCAAGTTTTATCACTTTTAGAGCAGGGAAGGCCAGAATGCTTTGCCAGCTAGGGATCTACTATTTACCCCAGTGTACATGTATGTATTTGTGTGTGCACATGTATTTGTGTGTGCAGTTTCTGTGTTTATAAATGCAGGGTGTGTGCATGTGTGTGTAGTGCTGTTATATGCAGGGGTGCATTTGTGTGGAGAATTGGTATTTGAATGCAGGATTGTATTTATTTTAAACACTTAAAGTGCCCAATACAAAGATACTCACTAGCACACACAGAGGCACACACAGATCTCTATTTGTACTTATTTTTATTCATATCAGGTTGGATTATGGGCACAAACCGGGACAACATTTTGATGTTTGTGGAAGTAACTCACTACTTCTGCATGATAGTCAGCTATTTTCTGACTTTTGAGCATGATTCATTTACAAGTTATTTTCTTGTACATACCTGCTAAAAAGTTGAAGCCCATGTTTAGAAACTTTTTACTTTTGAGAAAAATAATGTGCTTCTTGTTATCTTCCAATAATAGTTAAAAATGCTACGCATGAGGTACTCCCACCATAAAAACAATATGCGAATCGAGTTGTTTATTTTAATTATCATACAGTGCACTCTTATCCAAAGATCTTAAACCCAGGAGAACCTGCTTCTTCTTGGGTTTGCAGAGTCCCCTTGTATGTCAGTCGGATCTATTTCTTTATTTAAGTAGGGGGTATAGAACATATGGAGACCCCAATAAAATATCTCCAATTAGTTCATCAGGAGTTCGTCATTAGACACTCTCATCCAGTGCAGATAAAAGCAAAGTCTATGCAAAAAAAAACATTGGGTATCCAATGGCATTGTTCTGATCTCAGACCTAGTGAATAACGGTAAAATCAAATCCTTTCAAGACTTGATTTCTAAACATGAGATAGCAAACTAAAAATTCCTAAACTACCTTATTTATGCATATCTATCGAAAAAATCGTGTATTTCGTATTGTAGTAGCAGAACTCTGAAGAAGCAACGCACAGAGAGTCCGGACGCAGGTCAGTTTAGGAAGAAAAGATCTTTATTTTCACCGATCGGGTCTCAGCTGAACTCATGTCCAAAATGTCTGAGCCCTGAGCACATAGAGTATATGCATTTTATAGACTATACATCCCCCATCTGCACCCTTTGTCACGTCCTGTTGCGGATCATTTCTGGTCTTGGCTTCTGATCAGTGGTGTATTTAGGATTTATGCTGCCCTAGGCAGGACAGTGCTCGGACACACCCCCTAATTGAAATTTTCCCCACCCCTTCCTGTCAAGGCTGCACTTTGACTGACAGACGCTCACTCACTGACAGACGCACACACTCATTAACAGACACACACTTTCACTGACATACACACACACTCACTGATTTGACACACTGATAGACACACACTATTACTCAGACACACACTGACAGACTCACACTCACTGACAGACGCACACATTCACTGACCGACACACACTCACTGACAGACGCACACACACACTGACAGACACACACATTCACTCAGACACACACACTTACTTACACACACATTCACTTAGACACACGCTTACAGAAACACATTCACACACACACATTTCCACCAACACTCACAAATTATTATTTTTAAATTTTTATTTTAAATCCATCCAGCCTCCCTGGTTTTCTGGTTTTCTTTATGCTGGGTTTTCTGGGTTCATTGATGTATTCTGTTCCTGGAATTCCCAGTCTTCTGGATTCCTTTAAATGTTTGTTTTTTTGTTGCCACACCCGTTCCTTTGCCATTTATCCTTTTTGTTTCAGTGTTCCCTGCTAGCAGTGGTCTCATTCCTGTGCTCCTTTCCTTGCAGGTAAGTACTGTGTGTTTTATTGTTGAATGGGTAAGGCAGTGGCTGAGTGACAGGCAACAGAGGGTTGTAGTTAATGGAATATATTCGAAGCTTGGACTTGTCACCAGTGGGGTACCTCAGGGATCTGTACTTGGACCCATTCTCTTTAATATTTTTATTAGTGATATTGCAGAAGGTCTTGATGGTAAGGTATGTCTTTTTGCTGATGATACTAAGATATGTAACAGGGTTGATGTTCCAGGAGGGATAAGCCAAATGACAAATGATTTAGGTAAACTAGAAAAATGGTCAGAATTGTGGCAACTGACATTTAATGTGGATAAGTGCAAGATAATGCATCTTGGACGTAAAAACCCAAGGGCAGAGTACACAATATTTGATAGAGTCCTAACCTCAACATATGAGGAAAGGGATTTAGGGGTGATTATTTCTGATGACTTAAAGGTAGGCAGACAATGTAATAGAGCAGCAGGAAATGCTAGCAGAATGCTTGGTTGTATAGGAAGAGGTATTAGCAGTAGAAAGAGGGAAGTGCTCATGCCATTGTACAGAACACTGGTGAGACCTCACTTGGAGTATTGTACACTGTACTGGAGACTGTATCTTCAGAAGGATATTGATACCTTAGAGAGGGTTTAGAGAAGGGCTACTAAACTGGTTCATGGATTGCGGGATAAAACTTACCAGGAAAGGTTAAAGGATCTTAACATGTATAGCTTGGAGGAAAGACGAGAGAGGGGGGATATGATAGAAACATTTAAATATATAAAGGGAATCAACACAGTAAAGGAGGAGACTATATTTAAAAGAAGAAAAACTACCACAACAAGAGGACATAGTCTTAAATTAGAGGGACAAAGGTTTAAAAATAATATCAGGAAGTATTACTTTACTGAGAGGGTAGTGGATGCATGGAATAGCCTTCCAGCTGAAGTGGTAGAGGTTAACACAGGCATAAGGCTATCCTAACTATAAGATAAGGCTAGGGACTAATGAAAGTATTTAGAAAATTGGGCCGAATGGTTCTTATCTGCCGTCACATTCTATGTTATCTATGTTACTTTTAGTCATGCATATCTAAGCAGTTAGGACCCACCGTAATTGGAGTACTTTGGCGCAGTGGTGGGCTGCATACATCTTGTCCATTTATGTATGTGTAAATCTAAAATGTTAATTGCATATATAGTACTTAGTTATTCTTCCTCTTGTTTTGCCGTGCATTTCTTGTCTCATTTTATTTTGTCTTGTATTCCCAGTTCATGTACAGTCCTGTCCTGCCCTGCCCTGTCCATGTCCTGTTCTTGTTTTCCTCATGTCTTGTTCTGGATTCTGCTTTCTGTCCTCCTACGGTTCTGGGTTCTTCTAGTCTTGCCTTTTTTCTAGTACTGGATACATATCTGCATAATATCAAGCTCCTGGGATCCGCAGATGCTGCATCAGGGCCCTGGTATGTGGCCGCACAAACCCTGGTGCTCAACGCACTAAATGGCTGGGCTTAAATGAACTTCATTACAAGCTTCTTAATAGATGGCATTACACCCCCTTAATATTAAAAAAGAAATATATTCACATTTATCATCCAAATGTTGGAAATGTGGTGAACAAGAGGCAAATCTATTACATGTGTGGTGGAAATGTCCTATCATTGAAGCACTATGGAGTGAGGTTCATTCTAAGCTAAACATTTTGATGGGATATGCCATTGTCTTTAAACCAAAAGTGATGCTTTTACATCAAAATCTCCCTCAAAATAAAAGGAATTCACTAAAACTATTGATTCACGCTTTAACAGCTGTGAAAATTGTCATAGCAAGACAGTGGAAAAATATGATTATACCTGATTGGCATTTAATTAAGGTACAATTATGCCAACAACTAAAAATGGAAAAAGGTATTTCAACAAGTTCAAATACAAAAATTAGTCATTCCGGCTTCTGGGATAAACGGATAAAAAAAAAATTAGAATCTCTGTAAACTACTATCTCTTATAGGTAAGTGTCCCCGCCGGCTTGAGGGCCCACTGAATTGCCTTTCTTCTCCCCCAGAAAGTGTGTATTTTTTTCTTTTTCTTTTTTGTTTGTCCTTTTAGATTTGTTGTTGTCTTTGTTGATTTAATGTGTCATTTATGTTTTATACCGTTAAAATTAAAGATGAATGGTAAAAAAATAAAATAAATAAATTTCAACAGCATTGTGAGCATGTGTTTCAAAAGTGGGTGCTCAGGAGGCTGTAAGTCTTGTGTGCCTCTCCTTTACTAGGTGAACCCCTTTAACAGGTGGACCTACCTTTCATCTCTGTCCACTGCTAGGTCTTTCATTCTTTATTTCCTTATCCATGCATTCTATTAGTTGAAAGTGAAAGTGAAGTCCAGTCTCTACAGCATCTGCTTTTGGCATTAGAACAAATACAGCACCCAACCCTTGCTAATCTTTTACACCTGATTTTTTTTTTTCAATGAAAATGTCTTTTTACTAATGTTCCATTTTAAGCATGTACCAGTTTCAGGATACTTTGTAGGCAACATCTGGTACTCATTGTAGCCGTCATCCCAAAATCTTTTAAGAAAATAACAACATTTAGCTCAATCTCTTTAGCCTAAAATACCTTGTTCTCACAAATACTCTGTTAAAACCACTTTATAAAAAGACCAGGTTTTGAAGGTTATATCTTGATTATACGGTGAGTCATGGTTTGTTGTGGAGGAGAAATCTTTCTTAAAATAGTGTGGTGTATAGTGCATTAATGGAGTGTTTTATGTACAAGGCACTATGAATAAAAATAGCATATATGGAGTATTTTAAGTGTTTTGTACACTTGTGATTTAACATGTGTGCAAAGTGTATAGAAAACTTTTTTTATGGCACTAAATGTTCACTCTATGAAATAGAAATGCACAAAATGAATCTATTAGTTTTCCTTTTTATAGTATTTTTCTATTTATCGCATTGCATTTTACTTGTACATAATCCATGTATATTGAACGTATATTATACATCTGGATGTACAGATATCAGAACACGGGGGCAGTTGAGTAAGTTTAAAAGCCAATATTGACACTGCCATTTAAACAATAAAATGGTTTAGTCACTAAGCTCCTGTTTTAAATACATTAAGATTTACGGATCTGTCCAGCAAGACCCTGCAACAGAAAACAATTATCTTGCTATTGTTACATTCAACAGGAATGAGAATTCTGAGCTTGGATTGGCTCTTGGATGCCATTATTTCTTGCCAGAGCTTAATAAATGGGTTTCAGATGCTCTCAGTAACTGGTTGCATAGCTCATCCACTTCCATACATGACAATGAGTGATCAATGGGAAAGCCTAGTGATTTCAGCTTTGCTGAAGGAGTTTGCTTTCCATCACTATTAGTGGTTCAAGGGTATTCCCTCATCTGGCTGTGCTTTGCTGAAAGGGAACACTTGATGGATAGTGACAGAGGGAACAGACTGATAACTATAACCCTCTACCTATCCACGGCTGACGATATGCAATACTTTATGTTTAAATTAACAGTTGTTTATAGTACAGGTTTACTGTGAAATTAATTCACAAAAACATCAAGGGGTCTTTATATTCAGATTCTGTTGTGATAAGGGTAACTTTTATTGAGATAGTCTGAGTTTTCTATTCATGTTTTGTTTGGATTTGGTTAATTATGATTAAAGTCATTTTTTTTAGTTAGAAATGTCCATTTAAAAGCAAAAAAGAAAAATAGAAAAACACACATATACTGCATTATTGCTATCTGTGTAGCATGTTTTGACAGGGAATTCAGTAAAATATGGGTTTATTGCATTATCTTGTAGTTCAAACATGGCACTGTTGCTTCACTCTACATAGAGGAATAACACACAGGTAATTGACTCATCTCGGCTTATATCCTGTTCTAATTTCCATTTATTCAGTGTCTGTTTCCGATGGTTTCAACTGTTTGATAGAAGTTGGAATCGCCTGCCCCTACTTTGAGATACTTTCCAGCAGTACTACACTTACATTTACATCAATTTGATAAGATGAAAGTAATATCATTGTGGAACAATCATATGTAAAGACAATTTCAGATAACTTTTTATTATAGCAAGGCTACATACTAGATGTGCACAAATTGGTTCGGACCAGTTTGTCTGAATCAAATGCCTCTTAATCCATGTCTGGACGAACAGAATAATCCAAGATTTACCAGTGGGATTGTTTTCATTGAACAAGACTCCCTGATGGAGCAATTCATCCAGATCTGGAGTAAAAGTCATTTGATTTACATGAACCAGTTCACACAAAGTTTTGAACAAGTCTGCATATTCCCATACTCAGATTAAAAGCATATGCAATGTCTGAGTCTGTAGATTTCTAGTAACTGATTTGAAGTTAATCTTAGTTGAAATTTACAGAAATTCAACGTACTTTTTCTGTTTTCAGGGGCTTAATCAAGTCGTGCTGAAAGTTTATCACAAAAGTAAGTTTGGTAAATACAAAATGTTGATGATTTAAAATTTTTTTTATGTTTATAGTATGCAGTGATATACACAGACTTAACGGAGACAAGTCAACAAGATATATAAAATGCAAGAGAATTGGCAGCGATATCACATGACATGTAGCGAGCAAGGTAACAAGCATAGTAGACATTTTGTCAGAGATCCTGAAAAGTTGGTGTATAACCAATTGTAACAACAGTTGTGTACAGTTAAATAATATAGACATGCATATATTTCAATTATAGTTTCTGGTAAAGTAGTATTACACTGAGCAATCAGTTCAAACATTACCATGAGGCCCTGTAAAGCTTGAAGGGAGAAAGAGGAACTATATGTATGGACCAGATTAAAATAAAAGCATGAAAAAGCTAAAAAAAAAAACCCTCTCTCTCTATCTATATCTATATCTATATCTATATATATATATATATGCAAATTAAGTGTCCCAGCAATGTTAACCATCTCCCTGACGAGAGATGACCTGAGACCAGGGAAGTGGAGAGTTTGTAGAGATCCAATGTGTCCATAACGTGCCCAGAACCTCTCAATGCCTTAGGACCTTGCGAGCCAGCTCCCAGATTTGCCCACAGGTATTTCCACCATGTTTCCTCTGCTGGGCACACCAGGCATGTCGAAGAGCCCCATGACTGTATTTGCGTCTCCTTGTCACTTTGTTGCGGCATCCCCTCAGTTTCATCAGGGTTATCTTGCGGCATGGAGTATGTAGGGAACAAGTGATCCTGAACCCCTGCAGCCTATTGACCATCGGCCATATCGTGTCCTTGTGACCTGTGCCTGCAAGTAATGGGGTCCTTGGAATCCTTCCAGACTCCAGGGTCGGTAAGTTGGTACCAGGATGCGTGAGGGGCTGTTGGTCATTGGTCGTGGACTGAGATAGCCAAGATCTTGCAGCCAGCTTCCGCCAGAATGCTTCCCCCAAGCGATCAAAATTTCTCAGCAGGAACATGGGTGGCAGCCATCATGGGATCGCCAGGTAAGTGCCAGTATCAGGCACTAAGCTGTGTCAGGCCTCGTGGTGTGCTGCTCTT